CAGTTTGCAGTTGTCTGAATATCGAAGTTATCAAAGTCTTCTTTTTTATTTATAAAACTTGGTATCGTCAGGTCTCAAATTAATGGGTCACTAAAGTCATCTATTAGGCCTGACAGGTTTAATAACATTAATCCTAGTGATAGGAGCTATTATTTCATTATTTGCTTTGCAAATTATTGAATTTTAACATTTTAAAATAGAATAATTAAAAATTACCTCTAAATTATATAATTTTTATAATTAGTAACTGTCATTTATAATCTTTCTAGTTTTCGTTTTTTCCCCAATCTTTCTAAGCCTTAACATGTTAGGCCCTCCTATTAACTATCATTTATATATAAAAAAAAGATTGAAGGAGAGGTGTTCTATATAATAAGCAATGACTCTGCCTTCTTATCCTCTGATTTCTTTTCCAGCCTTCTTTTGCTCTATTTATGCTTTGTTGGTTAAGGTTCTATCGATTTTATTTAGTTATTTAGTTAAGCCAACGATTTGTTATTGGAGTATAATAGCAACAACCACCATTTCATCCAATGTATGTATATTTTATTTTTCCAATGGATTTATATTTTTAATTAATAAATTTTTTTTGATGTAGTGAGGAATCACTTTAAAGTACCAAGCACTACAACGTTGAAATAACCCATGTCTTCCTCTAAATAAAAGCTTGAATGACCTTCTACAAAAGGATACATGTACCTGAAATTGTATCCGAAATCGATATAGATGGGTAGGTAAAGAATATCTAGAGGCATGAAACAATTTTATCTAAGAAACTCGACAAAATAACCTAGTAACTTCAGGAGAATGGGTGCCTCCTCACATTAGGGGTTGCAGTGGCCAAGTCCGGGTGACTGTTTACCAAAACGAACAAATTTTTTCTTAATTTGGCCTTATAAAAAAATTTATAACTTAATAATTAAGGATTGATTTAATCTTTTCATGACATATTAATTATTGACAAATTAATTAGAGATAAATTTAACTTTTGGCTTTATGAATAGTTAAATGATTTAATTAACTTTAAAAGTAAAAAAGAAAACTTTCATTAAGGGTCTTTTAAATATTTTTATTTTCCAAGCATAATTAAATGACTAAATTTCCTTAAAAGGAACAAGAATAAAACTTCCTGGGCTTTTTTATTTATTTATTTTTTTTATAATAAAGTTGATTTAAAAGCAATTACAAGATTAAAGCATCATTCTTAAGGGTTTTTTCATCTTTTCATCTTGGTTTTTTTTTATCATAGTCAAGTTGATTTAGGATTAATTTGGTATTTCACAAATATAAAATATTAATAGAAAGAAAAAGTGGTTGGACAAAGTATGAGAGTGTCCTACCATTTATATTTCATATTCAACTTAATCTTTATTCTTTTGATAGCTATTTATTTTATCTTTTTTTATTGATTTTTTCTTTAATTTCTTAATCAATTATTATGTTTGATTTTTATATCAAATTTGGTTTTTATTCTTTTTATATTTTTACATCCTTAAATGAATTAAATTTTATTTTAATTTTATCTCTCATCATTTGATTTTAATTTATTTTTGTGTCGAATTTAACCCAATTCTTTTTACTTATGTTTGTTTTGTTTTAGATCTTTATTTTATTGCATTTTTTTAAAAATATTCATTCCTCGACATTTATTTTATTGGGCTACAAGTTTTGAAAGTTAACATGAGTTGACTTTGATCTATTTTTTTGTTCTTTTATAAAATTATTTTTTTCAATTTCATAATTCAATATTTGATTTTTGTAGAATTGATCTTCATGCTTGTTTTTTTTCTCTTTTGTTTTTAAAGGATTATCCAAATTTTACACTTATGATCACAAGGTTGACAGGTTAACACAGGTTGACTTTTTTTTTTTTTAGTTTCATGCCTCAATATTTTTTTTATTGAGAATTTTGCTTTGTTATTTTTTTAGGTTTGCCTTTTATGTGATCAATTTTGATCTCATAGCCACAATCATAAGTTTCAAATGTTAAAATTGGTTGGCCTTGATATATTTTATGTCATTTTTTAAAAATTATTTATTTTTCAATCTTGGCCTTGATATATTTTATGTCATTTTTTTAAAATTATTTATTTTTCAATCTCAACCTTCAACATTTATTTTTGTATGACTTTGTCTTTGTATTTCTTTTCTTACTTTTATTTCTATGAGGTTATCTCAATCATGTTCCTATAGTCGTAGGGTTAGTGGGTTAACTAGGGTTTACTCAGATTTTTTTTCATAGGTTTTTTTAGATTTTTTAAGTTTTGTACCTTGATATTTTTTTATTCAGAATTTTGCTTCATTATTTTTTTAGATTTTCCTTTTACACAGTAAGTTTAAAGCGCATGCAGTACTATTTATTTTTTTATTTCAATTTTAACTCTTATTTTTTAATTATTATTTTTTATTTTGAATTATTTTTCAATTTTATCCTTTAACATTTATTTTTTTTAAGAATTAGTCTTCATGTTTTTTTTTCCACATGGTTATCTCGATTATGTGTATGATTGTAGGATTAATGAGTTAGCATAGGTTGACCCTGATATTTTCTTTTATAATTTTTTTCAGTTTAATCATTTAACATTGAGTTGTTTTAAAGTTGAACTCTATAGTTTGATTCGGTTTGCTTTCATTTGTGATTATTTTTTTTTTACTTTTTATTGGCAGAGATAATCATTTGATCAAATAAAATTTTTTAACAAAAAACTAAAAAAGATGGTGCTTTTACCAAGCATCACCTTACAAAATATTATCAATTGTAATTATTTTTTATCTGTCCTTTTTCTTTCTTTCTTTTTAAATCTATGTTTTTTTTTTCTAATTTCATTCTTTAACGTCTGATTTACTAGAGATTGGACTTCATGACTTGTTGTGTTTGGTTTTTTATGTGGTTATCCCAATCTCCTGACTTGTGTCGCAGGTTTAACAAGTTAACGTGGTTAACTCAAGTTTTTTAAAAATAAATTGCATTTTTTTTCAACTTAATCCTTCAACATTGGTTTTTATTATGAATTAAACTTCTTAATTAGTTTTAGTTTGCTTTGTATGAGGATTTTTCGATCTCATAACCTAAATCATAAGTTTTACAGGTTAACCTGGATAGATTCATATCGTTTTTCTATGTCCTGTTTTTAGAATGAATTTTTCCAATTTCATCCAGTAAGAAATGAATAACTGAGAATTGAGTTTCATAATTTATTTAAATTTAATTTTTATGGGGTTATCCAAATTTTAAGACTCGAGTTGTGGGTTTTACAAGTTAATCTAAATTGACTTGAGACATTTTTTTATTTACTTTATATAAGATTTTCTCAATTTCATAACCTAAGTCAAGAGTTTGATGGGTTAATTTGGGTTGACTTTGGTTTCCTTTGTGTTTTTTTTAATTGATTTCTTTTTAATTTTATCATTTAATATAAAGTTGATTAGGAAGTAAGCTTTATAATTTGTTTTGATTTATGTCTATTTGATTTATTAATTTGCATGCAATTCTATTCAAACACTTAAAGTAGAATTATTTTGGATGAATTTTATATATATAAAAACATTGAAAGATTCATATTAAAATTTATATAAATAATTTATCTTTGAATGGAATAAAAAGATAAATTTGATCTTCTTTTTTGAAAGCTAGTTATAGGATATTATTTTATTGTCATTTATCAAGAGATAAATTGGTCATAAAGACAAATGTTACCATACTCCACATACCCCCTCAATCCGAGTTTAAAACATCGTCAATAACCATGCCGTTATTCTTTATATATGCATTGAATTATTAAGGCTTTAAAATTGTTAGTGTTTATAGATAAGTTTTGCATGGCAATGATTACATGGATTTTTTTTTTGGCTAATAAACACCCATCCATCTATAATAAAAGGAGATGAAAAATAAAATCATCAATGAAGTTGAAGTGCATAATGAGTATTTGATGAGAAAATACAATAAAATTACTAAATTAGATAAAATATAATTCATAGAATACCATTTTTGTGGTGTCTTCCTCTCTCTTATAATAGTAAAAAAGTTGCAAGTGCTTGCTTGCCCAACCAAGAAAACTTCCCTAAGTGGCTGACAAAAAATACCAGGAAGTTATTATAGAGCTCATCCCTGTAGAGGTTGCATGCATTGAAAAGAAAGGGGGCAAGAAAGATGTGAGAAGAAACCTTCGAAGTTCCAATATTTGCAATTCATTCAAAGATGAGGCAACTTTTCTTGAATTTAAATTACTATGCTTTTTTGTTTTTATTGATATGTTTTAAGATAAAAGGCTTGCTTAAGCCAAGAATCCATAAAAAAAATAAAAGAAAAAAACATGTTCAACAATACAAATAAAATCTTTTATTTTCCTACAAGTATAACTTACCAATTATCGTATTCTTAACTATATCAAAACATAATGGTCATTTTTTTTTTAATTTCCATCTCACCCAAAATCAATATCATCAAAACCACACCTTCTTGAATAATATAAAATCTCGAAAATGGAATAGTTTGGATTACATGAAATAGGGGGAGAATGATTTGAAGACAATTTTAAAGTTGAAATGTGCCATAAGCCCATTACTCCTCATGAAATAAATCAGAGAATTATAAGTGTGTAACAGTTCTCTCTTTTGTATTGGTGTTTTGTGAATGGATAATGTTTTAAATTGGGTTTGCAATTTAGTGGCTTGTGTTGAAAAAGGGTGTAATTGAAAGGAACGGAAACTGAGATTCTTGTTGAATGAAATAACTTTAACTAACAGGGACTTAATTGAAAAGAAGAAAAAAATTATGGGTAGAATCGAGGTTGCTGGGGCCTCCAATTGCTAAACTAATAGCTTTAGGACACTCAATATACATTTATTCTTATAAGAACTTCTACGTATAAACTGGAACAAATATTCAAGTTTAAAAATGGATGCAATTTAAAATTTAAAAGTAAATCTGGACTGGATTGTAATAGTTGTAAATTTGCTGTCTCTTCTTCTTCAAAACGCCGGCGTTTTAGAAGCTCTCCAAGCATGATCCCGGGTCCCAACCCGTTCATTCCCACGTGGTTTGAGAGGGAGACGCTGCTGCCTCCCCAAATCCCCTTCTTCAATCTTCCAGATTTCTTACAGGGTGTCTCTGTCGTTTTGGTCGATAAAAACGAGACCAAAAGGAGAAGGAAAAACACAGAGGAAGGCCGATGATGGCGGTGGCGGCAGTCAGACTTCGAGGTTCAGAAGCCTTCTTTATTGGGTCCCAAATTCAGCGATGCCAAATGAAAATAATGGGTATGATTCTTCCATCACTGTTGTCTAGCAACCACTCCAACTCCATTTCTTCTTCTAGAAGTAACAGTAGCAGTAGCAGTAGATATAAACTCAAAAATGATGATGCTTCTTCTTCTTTCAGAAACATTGATGTTGCCCTTGCTTCTTTCAATCAAATGCTTCTTAGGAAACCCCTGCCTTGTATCATCCAATTCAATAAATTATTATCTTCAATTGTCAAAATGAGACAGTATTACGATGCTGTGATTTCTCTTTCCAAACAAATGGAATTAGCTGGGCTCTCTCCTAATACTTATACGCTTAATATCTTGATTAATTGCTTCTGCCAGTTGCAAAATGTTGATCTTGGGTTCTCTGTCTTGGCTAAAGTCATTAAACTTGGTCTTCAACCCACTATTGTCACATTTACCACATTAATAAATGGGCTTAGTAAGGTGGGTAAATTTGCCCAAGCCGTGGAATTATTTGATGACATGGTGGCAAGAGGGTGTCAACCTGATGACTACACTTATACTACGATTATCAATGGCTTATGTAAGATTGGGGAAACTGCTGTGGCTGCTGGATTGTTTAAGAAAATGGAAGAGGCTGGCTGCCAGCTGAATGTGGTGACATATAGCACACTCATCCACTGTCTTTGCAAATACAGGCGGGTGAATGATGCTTTAGATATCTTCTCTTATATGAAGGCTAAAGACATTTCCCCAACAATTTTCACTTACACCTCTTTGATCCAGGGCTTGTGCAATTTCAGCCGATGGAAGGAGGCTTCGGCATTGCTAAATGAAATGATGAGTTTGAATATCATGCCAAATGTTGTCACCTTCAACGTGCTAGTTGATACATTTTGTAAAGAAGGCAAGGTTTTAGTGGCTGAAGGTGTGTTAAAAACAATGACTGAAATGGGTGTGGAGCCTGATGTAGTGACTTACAATTCATTGATGTATGGATATTCCATATGGACAGAAGTTGTTGAAGCTAGAAAGCTTTTTGATGTTATGATAACCAAGGGTTGTAAACCTGATGTTTTTAGTTACAGCATCCTAATTAATGGATATTGTAAGGCCAAAAGGATAGATGAGGCCAAGCAACTTTTTAATGAAATGATTCATCAAGGCTCAACTCCGAACAATGTTAGTTACAACACTCTTATTCATGGATTGTGCCAATTAGGCAGACTTAGGGAAGCACAAGATCTTTTCAAGAATATGCACACTAATGGCAACCTCCCAAATTTATATACTTATGCAATATTGCTTGATGGCTTTTGCAAACAAGGGTATCTTGGTAAGGCATTGAGATTGTTTCGAGCAATGCAAAGTACTTACTTGAAGCCTAATTTGGTGATGTATAACATCCTAGTTAATGCCATGTGCAAATCCGGGAATCTTAAAGATGCAAGGGAACTGTTTTCAGAACTCTTTGTCAATGGGTTGCAGCCTAATGTTCAGATATACACTACAATAATAAATGGACTTTGTAAAGAAGGATTGTTAGATGAAGCATTGGAAGCTTTCCGAAATATGGAAGAGGATGGCTGCCCTCCAGATGAATTTTCTTATAATGTTATTATCCGAGGATTTCTCCAGCACAAGGATGAATCAAGGGCAGTGCATCTTATTGGTGAAATGAGAGACAGAGGTTTCATTGCAGATGCGGGAACCACAGCTTGGTAGAAGATCTGTTATCTATCCTGTTCTGAAGAAGTATCTAGGCTTACTTGAAGTCCTCATGGTGAAAAGGCGTGTCAATTTATCACGCTGCTACTTCACGCTGCAAATATTAGGTAGCGTTTTTTCTTCTCTAGTTATTTTATTGCTAATTCAGCCTTGTCAAAATCTTGGTTAATATATTGTTAGTTCAGTCTTGTCAAAATCTTGACAATGACACCAGTAACTTGCTTTTGTTTCACAAATCATAATACCTGTTTTGGACTAGCATTCAGCTTTCTGGGTTATACATGCACATTTATGTTTGTCAATAAATATGTGTGGAATTGAGTTAAAGTGATGAACCTATTCAATTTTCTCATTAGTTATTAGACTTGTGTAAAATTTTCATCATTTTGGGTTAACTTCAAAAATTCTTTTCTTAAAGCAAACAAGACATAATTTAAGTGCTATTGCATGTAAAATGTTCTCAATAACTGTTGCCTTATGGATGCAGGGGGATGCTACCCCCAATTCTGCAAATGAGAAACAAATAAATACGCAAGCAACCCTGGTGAGTTTGGATTATTTTGCGTTTCTTATTTTGGCTTTTGGATCTTTTTTTTCTGTTTGCAAAGTTGGGTAATATGTGTTTTCATGGTTGAATGTGTATGGTATAATTCCATGAAAGAGCATCAGATCTTCATTTTTAGTGTTGTACAGCTGAATTTCATGATGCTTGATGATAATGATAGCCAACAGGTAATTGGAATTCAATGGTGAAGTTTTATTCTAATTTTTATTATAATTGGATAGGTGGTATCATTCGCATGTGAATAAATCAGAGATTCTCCAGTGTGGTTGTTTTAGCAAATTGACCAGTTAATATGCTCAGCACTCAATATAATCCTTCATTGCTAAGTTTTCTAGAAAAATAGAATCGGAGAAGGCAGGCTGGAAGCCAGTTTTTCTGGATGCCAATGGATCAATCTTTCCAAAGTAAACTTCTTTAATTTTACCCAATGGATCAATCTTTCCAAAGTAAACTTGACTTCTTTAATTTTACTTGTTGCTGTTGTGATGTACACCTCTTCCATTTTGACTTATTCAAAATCTTAATGCATAAAAGGGCATCAATTTTTTTTTTTTTTTTTTGCATAACTGGTAAGACCTCCAAGTACCTCCACAGCAGCAAACCTCTATTTTTCCTCCTTTTGCGAGTAACATAAGCCACTGCTATTACTTAGCCTCCTCTGTTTCTCTCATGTGAATTTCTCTGTGATGTTTTTGCTTTAGTTTCATCAATAAAACTAAAGATTATGAGCAAGCTTTTTAAGTGGGAAAAGCTGCAAACTTGTGAAACCAATCAGAGTACAACATTTACTCCTTCCAATTTCATCTGATCTCTTTTGGATTCCCAATTTGTTTATGCCCCACACCTTAGAGAGTTGATAAAATAGAAAATAGGAATCAACGTTGCTGAAATTATAAAAGCACTAGGGCTTGACTGCTTAGTTCAGTAGTCTAGAATGTACAGTGCAAAATCCCTATAGCACATGAATAAAAGATATTCAAGAACTGATTAGCCGTGCCTTTTGGTTTCACTGTTTTTATTGACTCTAGAGTCGAGACAATGTTGCATTCTTTCTTATTATTATTGTGGGTCCTGGGTTTCTTTCCTATCAAGTCATCAATTAATATTAATACACAAATAATTTTAGGTGTTGCTTTAAAATTCATAGATGATTTTCGGGTTTACTTGGTTGTCATTATATCTTGTCATGTTCTTTTGCTTTATTCACTCCTTCATTTCTTGCTAATCTCACTAATCAAAGTAATTACGTTCTCAGATCTACTTACAATTTCTTAATTTTGTTTCGAGATTTTGTGCAGTGAGAGTGAGAAAACTGGATTCATCATCCTTGTCTCTTGCTATCATAGGTAATTCATTATTCTTCAACCAACTTCCGTTAAAAAAATTAATTTTTTTGCTCAAAAATGAAAAAAAGGAATAATTATGTTTTATATGATTGTGATATTTGTATTAGTGCTAAGTGCAATGTGATGGAGATTGTTTTTGGTATTCAGATAATTGCTCTTTTTTTATTGTTATGAACCTGAGATTTGGAATTTATTGAATTATTTATTGATTGATTTTGTGTGTGAAAGTGGGGGCGCGCGGCGAGTTGAGTGGAGTAAGATTCAGATACCTACTGATGTAGTAGTGGTTCCTTATGATACCTTGGAGTCAGCTCCTGAGGGTAATTGATAATGATCTGAATTTTTATTGCTTTATTTTTAGCCAAACTTGTGTGGTTGTTGATTAAAGTGATTTGAATTTGTTGCAGACCCAGAGGAAACCAAGAAGCTTTTCAACAAGCTTGTTGTTTTGAAGGTTAGTGGAGGTTTGGGTTGGGGACAACAATGGGATGCACTGAATATGTAATCTTTTGTTTGTTATGCTGTCAAATTGCTAGGGAAAAAAAGAAGAAGGTGAATGTCAGATTGGTGACCAGTGTGATGGTTGTTGTTTTTTTGGCTGAAATGACTTGCCCTTTTGTCTGTGGAGCAGAATGGAGGTTTAGGAGATATATATGACATTGAACTTGATTTATGCTGTTGTGTTTCACAGTTCTGGCATAGAAGTTCATAATGGACTGACATTTCTTAACCTTATTGTCATCGAGATTGAGGTGAGTGTTTGTCTCTTCTCTTCTCTTCTGCTTTGATTTTGATTTGGTTCTGTTGTTGCATGGAACCAACTGTTAAAGTTGCTGCAGAATCTTAACAACGAATATGGGTGCAGCGTTCCCTTGTTTCTAATGAACTCATTCAACACTCATGATGATACACAGAAGGTGCTTGATCCTTACATCTGTTGTTTCTTTGTTTTCAGAAATGATGAGTTACAATTTTAGAATGGCTAATAATGACAAGGTTAATCTTGCTATCAGGAAGTGAATGGAGTCAGTTCTTCAGCTAGAAACTGAAGCTGGAGCAGCAATTAGGGTACTTGATGCTCATCACACATTTGATGCATTTTTTCCTCATCTACCAGTTCTGACCGTGCAATTGGTATAAATGTACCTCGATCTTGATTCCCTCCAGTGAAGGCTTCTTCAGATCTGCTTCTTGTTCAGGTTGCTTTCTTTTCTTTCACTGCCATTGGATCTTGGAGAGCTGTTTGCAACTCGCTTAACTCATTAGGTTGCCACTTTTGCAGTCTGATCTTTTTTACTTTAGTTTATGGCTTTGTCATCCGAAATCCAGCTAGAACAAATCCTGCAAATCCTTCTATCCAATTGGGGCCAGAATTTAAGAAGGTAAATTTTTTTTTGATAATCAAGTATTCTTGAGAGATTTTTTTTTTGTTATTATTATTATTATTATTGATATTTTTTCCTCCTGGCAGGTTGCCAACTTCTTGAGCTGATCTAAGCTAATCCATAGCATCATTGAGCTTGATAGTCGTAAGGTGGCTGGTGATGTATGGTTCCGTGCTGATATTACTCTCAAGGTATTACATGTTCTTTTGTTGCCTTTTTGATGCTCACTATTTAACCATTTGCTCCCATGTATGTCTGCCCTTGGATGTGTGTATTTTGGAAAATTAGTAGATGAAGTTGCAAGTGCATGAAATTTTACTAACTTGAATACCTTTTTTTTTTTCAAAAAGTAAATATTAAAATGATGTGATTATATAATCTGAGTTAACTTGCTAAATCAGATCTTACTTGATAAATACTTGGCATTTCCACTAGGAGATCTCTTGGAGGGATATTGAGATGAGGAAGATATATCATTCATTGTATAGTCCAAAATTTTGTTTGGCTGCGGTTAAATCATAGAATATTAACAAAATTAATCAAAGAATATTAAAAAATTTGAGTGCAATTCAATTTTTATTCTAGTAACACAAAAAAAGTTTTGAAATAAGCCTAGAAAAGCTCATTAAGAAGAGAGATTGGTTCTTGAGAAAGGTGTGCCTATGCGATTTGCCTTTAGCAATCCCTTTTAATGGGATTTGGAAATTAATCTTTATTGAAGTCTCTTACTCTTCTAAGAAGTCCATCAGGATATATTTTTTTTTTTTTGAAAGTGTTCAAAATGCAAAGTGCAAAACAGTATTAAAAACGATTTATAAAGGCATTTTGATGGTAACCAATTTCCTTAAGTATTAAATCCTTTGCATTATAAGAAATATTAATCAGTGGTTTATCTCTATTGATGCTAAATATAGCGTGAAATATTTTCAAATAAATAAACACAAATAATTAATTAAAGAGATGATATATAAGAAAGAAGAAAATAAATAAATAAAACATCCCCATCATCCATCAAAGAAAAAAACACTCAAATGTCTTTCTCTTGCAATGCAAGACCATCATCCTGGAGATGAAAGTGTTTTAAAACAACTAGACTGGCAGCCAAAAGTTGAGCAGAAGTAGCAGCTGATTATTTTTGTGTTTCAGTTTCTAGGCAGAATCATATGATAAGAAACTAATTTCTCAACAACAGCATCACCAATGCTTAACCCAAATTAGAGCAATTCAAAGCAGCCTTAATTTTGAGAACCGTGGTGCTGATAAGGGTATTGACTGTTGCCACAGATTCCATGTTGAGTTCTGTGGAGGATGTGGCATTAGGGCCAGCGACCAGAATTTGGAAAGCTACTGTAAGAAGTGAACCTCCCGAGTCTGCCCCAGTAGAACTTGTGGAAGTAGAACTGTCCCCTCCTGTGTCTGGATGGCCATCGCCAGATATTACAAAACCTGATGGAAGTATGGGAATGATCGATGAGTCTGCACCGTCTATCACCATGTTCATGGCTGGAATGTCAAGTGGAGCATATACCACCATTGATCCTGAAGAGTCCGTGCAGCTCTCTTGAAGTATCAGCATGTTGTTCTCAGTAGGAATGAAAGGCTGCTTTAATTTGAAAGGAAAAACAATCAAAGAATTGCACAAGTAAACTTGCTGAAAATGAATCAAGACACTGTTGCTGTAAGCCTTTTGGCTATAGTTTATACTGCATCAGAATATGAGAGAAAGGAAGAGAAATTACGCGAGTAATGGATATGCAGTTCCCTGGATTAGTCCCGTTGGAAATGTGTGAAATCACATGCACTGGATTGCTATTGGACAGAACATCCCACTGTTAGAGAAAATGACAGGAAATACTATTTGTTACATTGCTATATATATCCGAAAGAGTGAAATATGTACGTATTTATTGATCACAGAATGAATCATGTTATTTTTCATAAACCTGAATTCGTGATCTCTCATCTTTGAAGAAGTTAAACACAATCTGAGGTGAGAGTGGAAGCCAGAGAGAAGTAGCAGCACTAACAACCATGCCAACCGGCTGCCCTTGTTCTGTGTTCTTACGAATAGCCACCCGAACCCCACTATTGTTCACTTCAGAGAATTGAGGGAAATCCAGTTTTCCTGACATACCCAAACTTGCAAAAAAGATCTTCACCATCCTGTGGGCTAGGTTTACTATGCTCTTTCTACCCTCAGGTGAAGTGATCACTGAGCAATGGAAGATGTTAAAGCAACAGTATTGCATAAAATTGGTGTCAAAGTAATGGAAAGGCAAAAAACTGATGATTGTCACCTCCTCCAAAGTCTCGAGCAGCTGCAGTTTCCTCCTTGTAGAAAGCTAACCTCTCACAAATCCTCCGGAGACTAGCAATCCATCGTTCTGCTCCATAAGCAGATCTTCCGCATATGAGATCTCTGTAAAGGCGATGAGTTTGAGTTCTATCATCCACCTCCACATGTTCTACCCAAGTTACCTATCAAGTTTGTGTGATGCAAAATCAGTCTCACACACGATTCACTTAAAATTGACATGAGTTATTGTTATAGACAATTTCAGATATTCTAATATTATGCAATGATTCTAATCTAAACTATTCTTGCAATCTTTAAGTCATCTTTTGTTGGTAGCTCATGGAGATGCATACAAACGCTTGCTTTGTGCTTATGACAGAAAAGGATCATCCTGCATATGACATTATCAGCGATGAAAAAATTGGTATCGAATAAATGGGGGTCTGCAGACGTGCTTGTTTTAGATATTGCATCTACGAAACATTTATAGTAGCCATGCTCATTAATTAATATGAACATTACACTAAATGCAGACGTCAAAATATTCTGTAAACAAGAGAATAGAGATGCCAGGCTCCATTCCAATTATAGTTCATTGATTAATTGACAAATGTGCATCAGAACTTTTTCGTTGTTCGTCAGAATCGATAACATTTGATAACTGTAAAGCTCAGCCACAATCAGCCCTAATCTGTGCTATGAACAAGCGTGCTATGGTTAATCTAGAGCAAGTAATTCTCAGAAGTAAAACTTGCTCAATCATTTGATCATTTCGGGTATAGAGATGCAGTAACTACTCACCTTGGAACATCCATTAGACTTATCTTGGATCATGCATCCAGAAGGAAGCCGCCAAGCGCGGGAAGGGAAACCATCTCTCATGAAGTCATACGATATATCTGCTATCACCCACTCCCCAGGATCAAGTTGCTGACAAAGACGAAGGAAGTAAAACTCCCTAGGTGGAACCAAGGGCGACAGTATGTGCATTTGTTCATACATCTGCATTTAACCCTTTCACTCCATTAGTACACAGCTCAAGACCTAACAAAATTTAAGGAACGATAGATATTTATTAGCTACTCAACATACCATCTGCAAGGAACCATTTCGGTTTCCTGCCGTTCCAGCTTCAAGTACTAGAATTGTCCTGGCCTTGGTAACGATTGTCGGAAAAAGATCTATCCATTTATTCTGTAAAATCAAAGCAAATAGTTAAACTTGTTGCCTCTTTAGCAACAGAATATGGTCTGATCTTACAGTGTGGAAAGTAAGAGCGCACTAACTGCATCCAAAAACATGTCAACCAGGTCCATTCCAGGCATGATCACCATTGCTGAATCTTTGGATGATTCGACACGAGCATTAGCACTTTTGAAGTGACTGTCCCTGGGGTATAGTTTCTCATAGCCGACATGATCAAGGATGTATCTTCCATCAGATGGGGACTTGATCCACAGAGGCTCATTAACTCGCAAAAGCCTGACCAGCTCATCAGCTGCACTGGCAGCAGTCTCAGCCATGAGCGCCTTTTCCATATCTAGAATTCCTCTACGTCTATAAACCAATGGACTGTTGTCCAGTCCTGGATTCCGTTCCAGATCAATGCCAGGGTTTGTCGTCAATACGCCATCTGAAGATCCAGCTCCAAGTGTCAACGAATCAATCTGTGAAATTGATTTTCCTATGTACTTGTTAAGAAGGGTAGATACTTTTTCATGCTGCACAACAATCATAATAATCATCAATAAAAAAAAAATCATTAAGACTCCCGAAACTCAAACATTTATGCATCATTAAAAAGAAAAGGCCTAATAGAGAACGAGGAAATATTTAGAAAGGGAACTTCGTTGAAATAATCCAAACTAGCCTCTTCTTTCAACCGAGCATTTTCCTGCTTTAGTTTCTGCAAACTACGTTGGCGTTCTTCTTCTCCGAAGGGAGGGCCTCCACAAGCTGGGCAGATCACATTCTTCAGTGCCTCTATGATTGCCAGATTTTCACATTGAATCCTCTCATTTTCTAACCGAAGAACTGAATTATCTGCTCGCTCACTCTGCGCCTGCGAAATGGATCAGAAGGTGCAAAAGCATCAGTACATTATTAAGGGATACAATGTATTCAAACACAAGGTTTTAGACTCACGAGTACCTTTTTCTGAGTCCTTTTGTTTTGAAACCAGAACTTGATCTGTTTAGCCTCAAGCCCTAATTCCCTACTCAACTGGCGCCGCTGGTTTTCATCCGGATGAGGACATTCCTTGAAAAATCTTCATCAGAGTAACAAAACCACAAACTTTCAAACGCAGAAAATGAAGGTGGGGGGTGGAAGGACGGACCTTTTTGAAGAAACATCAAATATTCTTACAGGATGCATATTAAAAATCCATTGCAGTTCTCACATTAACTAAGCCAAGTGAATGAATTAAGGAATCAAGCAATCCAAACAAAACAATCAAGGACCGAACTAACATGTAGGAAAATTGATTTATCAGGAAAAAAAATGAATGCATCAACAGAAGAAGTAAACAATCTCCATCAAAAACACCATCATCAATCTGAAAAGGGGAAAAATCCTCTTCCATTCACAGAAAAATAAAATAGACCTCTCATGTCGAGTGAAATGACTTTATCCAAAAGCCGCTCAATAATGAAGACCTTACCAACAAAGAGCAAGCCAAGAGTGAAAACACCAAAATTTATAGATTTCCTCGTGAATATCAACAAAAGCTTCCACAGTAATCATTGGCTGGAGAAACTATGAATCAATCAAAAGAACATATCAAAATAGCCAAACACAAACCATATAAAAAACAACAACAAATGCAACATATAAAGATCAAAATCTTGTTTTTATATTATGCTTAAAGAACATATATAAAACGTAGTGCTTGAAAAGAGAATGATGCTAGTCTTATACTTTTCAAGCTGCTGAATCTGCTGATTAGAATGGCGATGGTAACCCTTCTTTCCCTTATTTCTAGAGTTAGAAGCTGCTTCATGTTCATCGCCCGAAGCGCCACCATTGTTTCCCATTGAAAGCTCCATTATTTTCCTCTTACTGGCAAAAATATTATCACTACAAGTCTCCCTTCTTGGTATGCAGGCTAGTAATGAACAATCTATGATTATATATCAGATATTGTGCATGTATAGCCCAACAACTCAATTCCAAATAAGGACAGAAAATGATCACCAAACCAAACCTCCAAAGATAGATTTCTGGTTCTTGGTTTTCTACTGTTTTAGGCATAATGCTTTTTGTAAACTTTTTCTTTCTTTCTTTTGGCCATGAACTGCATTACACGTTACAGCAAAAAAAAAAAAGTGCAAGCCAGTAAATTTCGTGGTTTCGGAGATATGCTTCGCATGAAAAGCTACCATATATGGAGTGGGATATATCCAAATGATTTTCACTTTTTTCCAAGTATTCATAACCATTGTTTTCCCCCTCATCAATCCAAGAACAAGCACGACTCGACTGTGTGGAGGACTAATTGCTGTGGCTAAGGAACATGCTCGGCTAGTTTAATCTGTTGATGGGTTGTTGACGATACATGTTTGAATTGAGGTGGGCTTAGCTTGTCTTGTGTACTGATCAATACACATTTTGATTGTGCCATGAAGCCCTTAATTATTGTGTGATTAACACTAGATAATACTAATCATTTAACAAATTTAGTAAATTGATGATTTGTACGATCGTTTCCAAAATTATAATTAATTAAGTATTATCATACATCTGCGAAATATTAATGCAACACTATTGTGCTCTAAATGCAACTACTGTGTTGTTCTCTAGATATCTTGATTTAAGAATTTAAAAAAAAAATCACAATTAATTGAATTTTGAAATTGATAAAATCTATAGTTAATTTAATTGAATAATATATTCAAAATAATTTAATAAAATGCTATAACCTTGAAATGAAATGTTGCATAAATATATTAAGAAAATCTCAACCTAATATTCAAAACATTTTAATTTTAATTACTTGAGACTATTATTTTGAGAATTTACAATTATGGTTATTTGAGATGTAAAAAATATTAGTTGAACATTGAGTAAAATGCTTTATAAGCAAATTAAATATCTTATCAAGTATTGCAGCTGTCTCTGAAAAAGAAAATAGGAAAATCCATCATTTATAATCTGTGGAATAGTTTTACAGCGAAGATTTCATCTGACCTGTCAAAACCTACCATATTTTCTCAAAATTTTCCATTTAGGGTTTATGATAGTGCTGAGCGAGACCTAGATTTAGATAAATTCTTGTTGTGAATTTTAAAAACTAAAAATCTAAATTTTTCCTCCATTTTTTTATTTAAAATACATATCTAAGAGAATTTAATTATTGATTTTACTAACCTAAAAAATGCCCCACGACTATAAGAACTTATTGTATCAATCTTAGTCTTAGATTTTTAGAAGTTTTCAATTAAGAACAACTATCTAAATTATATTTTTATAATGAAAAATTCCGTTATTTTGTAAGAAATTTAATGTTTTTCATTGCTAGCTACATGTTCTAAAACAATGCATGCCATGTACATGAGCTAGCACTAATTAAAAGAAAAATAGTATGATTAAATTATTACAATAATAGTAATAAAATATTATTTATTGGAATAATATTTTGTGTTTTTTTTGTTTAGTTTTTTTTTTTAAAATTTAATTCTTCAATATTAGATTGTTTTAGGAATTGTGTTTTGTATATAATTTTTGTTTATTTTTTTTATGTTGGATTATATATTGGTCTTATGGATTTTTTTTTTAATTTCAACCTTCAATATTAGATTTATTAGAATTTTTTTATTTAATTTTTATGAATTTATCTCAATTTCAGGATCTAAATCATGAGTTTAACTTGTTGACTTGGGTTAATTCAAGTTAATTTTTTTTGTTGTTTTTTCTAATTAATTTTTTTATTTCATCTTTTAATATGAACTGATTGAAAAATGAATTTCAAATTATTCTTTTATTTATTTTTTATAGATTTTTTCTGATCTCATGGCTTAGATCATGACTTTGTAAGTTGATCTGGGTTGTTTGTGTTCATATTTTTGATTTTTTTTAATTGGACTTTGTAATTCTTTTATTTGTTTTCTTTAAAGTTATCTTAATATTAAGAACTTGGATCACGAGTTTGGTAGGTTGATTTGATTTATTTTTTAAAATCTTTTTGAATTGATTTTTTTTCAATTTCACCCTCCAACAATTTATTTTTTTATTTTATCCTTCAATATTAGATTGTTTAAGAACTGAGTTATCATTGTCTTGTTGATTTTTTATTTCTTTTAATTTTAACTTTCAACATTGGATATGTTGGAAATGGAGTTTTATAATTTTTTTATAAAGTTATCATAATTTTATAACCTAGTTTACGGATATAGTAGGTTAACCTAGGTTGATTTATGTTGTTTTTTATTTTATTTTTTCCCTTGATTATGTGCATCCTTTAATACCATGTTAGTTAAAAATTGAATTTCATAATCTCATAACTTAAGTTGTAGATTTAGCATATTAGCCTGATTGTGGAAAATAAAATAAAAAATTGTAACCTCTATTTCAAATTGTAAATTTAATTCATTACTTTTTACGAGATTGATCATGAAAATCAAGGTGTTTTTTGGCTTGATTCCTTGTGCATAGTCTTCGAAATTTTGTGATGTTAATTACGTTGGTAACATCTCTTGCAAATAATTTAAGTCTCCATTTGCTTCTCATTACTTAGAGCAGGAAATAGACTCTCCTCGTTAGTAATAGAAATGATATGTTTTCATGCATTTTCTATTTTAAAGTATAGAAATTCAACTAGACACTTTTTTTTATATATCTATTTTTATTTCTTCAACTAAACACTTTTTTTTTTATCCTAGAATACTAATCAAATACAAATATTACTAATGATCCTCTGGTTATGCTAAGCTTGTGGAACGAATCCTTGGTATCAGTGAGTTGTGGGCTGCTGGAGGACAGCCTATCTCCGCCCATTGGCAAATCAAGCTTTCTCAGTATACTAAACCTGAAAAACAACAGCTTCAGCTATTCTATCCCGCGAGAGTTAGATCGTTTGTCTCGTCTACAGAAGGTGGCGTGGGGAAACAACACATTCATTATTGGTGAAATTCTTATCCACATCTTCTTCTTTTTTTAATTATTAAAATAGGTATCCAGATGGCTTGTTCGTATATTAATTAATCTTATAAACCATGGAATTAATGACCATATAAGTCTTCACACTACACCATTAAACAATTTAACCGATGAATTCATTCCATCGGTATGAGACACACAATTCGTTAGTAACATTTTTATCGATGACTTTGCCGACGGATTGCTTGTTGGAATATTGATCGTCAGTAATTCCCATTTTCATTGCTACTTCTGTCAGGAAAAAAAACCAAACACCGATAGTCTTATAGACGAGGGAAGCACGCCATAAAAAATTTCCCGCAAGAACTTTACTGATGGACTAATTCTGTCTGTATTTCCAACGATAAATCACTGAAGGCCAGTCCATCGATGACCATGGCATGAGCAGTAAATATTTCAAAACTCTTTGTAAAATACCAATGGATGCTATCCGTCAGTAATCTCAACAGTAAAAACCAATGGAATACCGTCGTTGGTGATTGTGGCATGAGCAGTAATTTTTTTTGCAACTCTTAGTAAAATACAAATAGCTCTATTTCGTTTATAAGGCAGTTGGTGTTTATTTTAAAAAAAATTACAAAATTATTTAGAATAAATAATGTTTTTCAAATATTATATTGATTAATAGTAAAAAAATAATCAACCAAATAAAATTTTATTAAACATTAAAAATATAAAAATAATGTTAAATAATATTCATCCAAATATTCATTACAAATTTAATGCGTTCCAAAAACAAAATTAAACAAGAATAACAGCGAAGCTGAAGGAGAAGGAGGTTGGTTGTTCCTGGAACCGTACGACCAAAAAGGGTTGCACGTGTATCATCACTCATCCTTGATCTAATGTCCATGACCATTTGATGGAGCTGATCGTAATCCGTCGAGAGTCATTTATATTGTTGTTTCAAGGTCATGAACTCCTCAAACTAGGTGCTCGATACTAACAAGGAGCTCCCAATAGTTAAGACACTGTAGGCCGCCTGCAAGTTTTCAGTCATAGTGTTGGAGAGCCTGTAAACCCAATTTTTATCAGGTCTACCAGACAATCCTACTTCTATCCATAAATCAGGATCGACATCTAGAAGGGTCGAAGGATCGTCCCTACATCTCTCCCTCAACCGGCTATTATAGGTCTCCTGAAAATAAAAAAAAATAATCATACATCATACTCAATTTAAGAAAATAATAATTTATGAAACAAAATAATTGAACAAACATACCACAAAGTGTTGAGCACAGTTTTCCACGAACTATTGCACCCTCTTTTAGCAGTCTTGATTTCGCACGTGCGTCTCTATAAATGACTCCATTGAGCTCGACTCACATTCAAGTGACATAACCTGTAATGAAAAAAAAGTTGCAAGTTAAATATATTTATAAGCAACTATAGAGCTGCCGGTGTTCATGGTCACCGAACCATGAATTTGTAAGTTCTGATTGTCAGTATCAAACTGTGAGCGTCGTGTGAATCACTTAGATGTCACATGCTCAATATATTGTGTCCATATATCCCCTAAGATGAATGGGGTTTGAATTCCCGCCAAACCGCCACCTCATTCCAACCTATAGACCGTTATCTCTCACATATCTTTTTGCTTTTTTTTGTGTATCATACCAAAAATCACGCAACCTACTTCCATAATAACAAATTAGAATATAGAACATAAAATTATGAAATAAAAAATTATATTATTTTTTATGCCACCTAGTTACTGCAAGATTGTCCTATAACCTCCTAATTATATTATTTTTTATGCCACCTAGTTACTGCAAGATTGTCCTATAACCTCCTCACAGCATTGTTGTCTATACTATCTCACTCAAATCTTTATTGTGTATGAATAATTCATTTAAAATAAAAATAGTACAAGATATAAAATTATAAAAATAATTTATTAAAAATAAACTGGAAATTAAAAGTTAACACATATCTCAAATCATCGAAACCATGCATTGATATTAGGTCTCCATTCAAAATGTCTAGAAACCTGATTCCATTGAAGCAATAGAATCTTCATCGATGATTTGAATGCCGA